ACTGATCTACGTGCTCCACCTACACTAACGGGGCAAAATGGAACCCCAAGAGGAGCTTGGAGTCGACTCCTAGCATGCATCTCTTTTCCATCATCTCTAGATTTGTCTGTTTTCTTCTGTAAAGATACTGAATTTTGCAGTGATCTCTTCATAACAGAAAATTTGGCAGTTTCTTGATTGAATCCCTGTCTATCATCATCTGTTTGCTGCATGATTCCTTGATATTGATGCACTGCTCCCTTGACATTAGGTGGATTCAAATCCCCATTTTCCTTAATAATTTCGAAATCACTCGATTCCATCATAGTAGCTTGTTGAAAAGTAAAACTATTCTTCCCATTTGATCCAAGCACACTACGGCGATCCCCAGCCCTACGATCACGATATCCTGTCCTGGCCTTCCGAGGAGATAATGGCAGCACGGCACCATTGGACAAACCCGGTTGACCTGAAGCCTGGTTTGAGGAAACATGAAATCCATTTTGGTCATAAGCATCATCTAAGGGCTGTTTACTGCCAACCGCTACAACAGGCTTCACAATACCCCCTTCATTAATTGGCGGAGGAACTTTTGCACTACAGGCATTTCTCAGAATAGAATGAATGAACTGATTATGCAACGGAATGTTTTCTCTCCCCAAGATCCTTAAACAAAGTTTATTGAACTCGGCCTTGCTTATCTTCAAGCTCAATAGCCTACTTAAGTAATGAAAGTACTGCTTTGAACCCTCTGGTCCAAGTTTCTTCACTATCTGAGCTTTCAATTCAGAAAGATTAATCCGGGAATGCTGGTGTGGTGGTTGCATCTCCGTCAATACATATATTCCACCAAAAACAAGCCAAAAATTCAACCTTTCCACTGCTCAAACAAACAGAAGACCAATGGTAAGAACCCAATTCACCACTAAACTAGGGTTTTGCCATAATTCCACAAACACATAACAGAAACAACATTAAATCCCAATCCCAGCATTGCCGAATCAAAACCCATCTCAAATCCTCTAACTTTTAGCAGTTTAAGGATAGGAGGGGTTGAGTTCCAAATCAGAGATCCAAATTTTCAACTAATTCTCCCTCCAAAAATCCCAATCCCCCCCCAAAAAATTAAATTCCACGTTCAAGAAACCTCACACCCAATATCCAAAATCAAAACTTTAAAACAGCGAAACCCTCCATTTCCATCAAAATACAAATATCCCCTGAAATTCGAAGTAAACCCTTAGCTTTATTCCCAATTCAATAAACTCCAATCCCCAATAATTCACCTAAAACAAACCCAAAATGCCACCTCCTGCTTAAATACCAAACTTGAAGTTACCCACTTCAACTTCAAATTTATTCTGCAGTAAATTGGGTTCAAAAGAAGAAGAAAAAAAAGATTCAGCTTACCCGGCTACAAAAATTGAAGTTCTCAAACACAACGAAGTAAATTGGCTTACCTTATTTAGCTCCCTGAAACTGATTCAAAATTCAGATTCAGAAAAACACAAATGCTTCTCCCACTCTTATTTGTTCATTGAAACCCATACAGCTTCTTCTTCCATTGCTCCATAACATTGTTCCGCATTTTGATTTTCCTTTTTGCTCTGTTAATTACAAAAATTCACCGTTTTGAATCAGAAATTGGAAGACCCAACTCCTTCTTTGTTTCTCTGATCGATATATACTCGCCTTCTTCCTTCTCTCTGAATCGGACTCTTTTTTTTCGTTTTTTTCTTTTCTGTCTGATTAAATTTTTTTCTCTTTCTTTTTCTGCTATTTTTTTCTGAATTATATGCTGAATAAAATTTATTTATTTATTTATTTTCGTTAATTGATATATAAAAAAAATTCACTGCCCACGCTCTTATTCTCTCTTGTTACAACACGCGAGTGGTGATTAGGTATTTAGTGAGGCGTGCGCGTTTGTAACAATTATTGAGAGTGGGTGTGATATTTTTAAATGATAATTTTTGCATTTTAATTACTCTTTTGTTTAGTTTTTGAGTATTATGAGTACAATTTTGAGGAAAATATTGTGTTTAAACTAATTTTGAAAAATGATTTTATTAGAACAACTGTATATTGGAGGATTAATTATTTTAATTTTTACTTTAAACTTTATATAAAATTATTGTAGATTATCAAAATTATGTCTATATTGATAATTTCGTTAAAAAAAATTAAAATATTATCAAAATTATATCGGTAATAATGTTACTATAAAATTTGGTGTAACACGTGATTCATTTACCATTTAAATTTAGGAAAAGAATAATTTTATCTTAATTTTTTTTGTAATTATTTGTATGTTTTCCATTAAAATATTGCTCTGAAATAACTTCATTACAATGTTTAAGCTATCTTTTTAAAAAATGATTGTTTGAACAAGTATATATTGGAGGATTAATTATTTTACCTTAAACTTTTTTTAAAAAATATAATAAATTATCAAAATTGCATTTGTAACAATATTACTATTAAAAAAGAAGTTAAAAATTATCCAAAATTACATTCGTAGTGATAACGCAATATGTAAATTGTAATTATTTTTTACCAATCAAATTTAGGAAAACAATTAAATTTAGAAAAAACTTTTGATAATATTATTTGTATGTCCATCATTAAAAGATCTTTTAAAAATAACCTCATTGTACAATGTTTAAGCTACTTTTTAAAAATGATTTTGCTAGAACGAACAAGTGTATTGGAGAATTAATAATATTCTTATATCAAACTTAAAAAAAATAAAAAAATTTGTAGAAATGTATTAGTAGACTACAATAGTATCTTCATTATAAACAAATAAAAAAAAGATTATCAAAATTGCACTCATGTCATTTTACTATTATTTTTTTTATAAAAAAAAAAAAAAACTCCAAATGATTATTTACCAATTTAATTTGGGGGAAGATCAAATTTTCCTATCAATTTTTTAATATTACTTATTCATATCCTTCGTTAAATGATTGTGCCAAAAATAACCTCATTATTATTAAAATTTATCATATATATCCTTTATTTTTTTAACGAGACTTCAATTGACATATTTATGTATACACATATGTGCTAACTATTTTAAATTACCACATAAACGGAAATATGTGCAAAAATAAAAGGAGGGAAACCTAAGTTTACCTTTAAATTTGTGAACTAATCATCCATACCAAATGCTAAATTGTGTTTTAAGGGTAACATTCTCATGCCACGCAACAAGAAATGAAAAAAAAAAAAGGAAGAGAAATTAATGAGGTAGACAGAGTTTGGAGCCAAAAATTAGTGTATTCAATAATTTTTTTAAAAAATCTAATTTATATTGTACTTTTAAAATTGGAGTTCAAATCTAACATCTATATAACAATTTTTTTATCAAATTTTATATCGAAAATATTTCGGTTGAATGTATCTGGTGTTTATGAGTTGCATCCGGCTATGGACATATGAGAAGGGTACATGACAAGTTTAAGCGGAAAAGTGTGTCATGTCAAGGCAATAGCACAACGTTAAGACAATGCATATTATTTAATAGGGAAAAAGGACAGATGTAACTTCGAACTATCGTAAATGATATGCACATACCTTCCGTTATATTTTTTAGACATTGGTACCCATGCCATCCAAAAACTAGAGCATATATATCTTTTATACTAACAAGCATACACGTGCCATAATCTTATCCACCGATTCGATATTTATCGATTGATAAAATTGTGTCACGTGTCCGTATTTAGTCTTCCGTTAGAGTGAAGGGCATATATACTCTAGTTTATGAATGGAAAAGTATGATGAAGGTTATCCATATACCATTTACGATAGTTCAAAGATATATGTATCCGTTTTCCCTACTTAACATACTTCAAACTAAGGCCTATCGAGATAAGAACAGTATAATATGGAGGCGGTGGTCACTCTTACTACTAATAGAAAAAGTATTAGGGAAGCCGTCAATATTGGAGAGGTAGAAGGTAGAAACTGGACTCTTCAAATTCACATACTACTCATATACATGTTCCATATAAAATTATGAGCAAGATTCAAAGCATGGTTTTCAATTCTCTAGTTGGCTCGATCAATTTGGTTAGATAACAAAATCTGTAAAAGATGAAAATTAGATCTAATTACTTTGACTTCCACAAAATTTATTATTTCCTGTGTTTCAATTTATATGATTAGTTTGACTCGATACAAAATTTAAGAAAGAAAAGATGACTTTTGAAATTTGCGATCTAAAATAAGTCATAATTGTTTGTGAAGTTGTATATCATTTCATTAAAGGCAAAATTAACATTTAAATTTGAATAATTACTATATGTAAAAATATGTTAGTATTTTGAGACTGACTAAAAAAAGTGTATAGTATAAATTAAGACAAATGAAATACTAATTTTGTAGTTAGAATTAATTTTATCGTTTCATTTTTTTGTCATGCTATCAAGGAAGGTCAGGCTCCATCTCATATGTCCAGTGGGTGTGTGGAGTCTCCCATGTCAATTGGTGATAGAATTAATCATCGTGTCTTGAACAAATTCTTGATATACAAATCTATTTTTACATTTCACTGGTCCATGGTAACCTAATTAACAGTTCAAATTGGTCCATTCATTCACACAAGCTGCACAAAATACCACTTCTTTTCTTAATCAAATTAGGTAAACAAAAATTAGGACCGATTAGCCAAAGTCAAAGCACATTTATAGTCGTTTCGTGTAAGAGATAAGAATATATAGTCTTAGGATCGACTTATCCCACCATTTATATTAATGAGATAAGTTATCACAGAATAATTAATTTTGAGATAACTTATTCCCAACTAGACGACTTAGAATCCAATGTGATAATCTTTGTCTATTTTTGTGCTTGTTGAGTAACTCACTGAGAGCTCTTATAATTCTATTGTTGACATTTCCACCTAAACAAAACAGTTACGTGTTAAAATCAATATTAATAACATGACAATTACTTAACCTAAGGAAGAACTAGGGAAGGTATATTTGTCCTATAATACTTTTAAAGTCTCATTACACGAGATAAAACCAAAAAGACTTGTCTTCTTCATTTGGCACTTCTGTGTGCAGATAATTAAGTAACTACACTGAATCTCAGTTTGGTAACTCACATACCATGGAGATATCACAAAGTTGGAGCAAAATTAGTCCTCAGCTCCATAGCTCACACTCCTTGGAGATTTCATTAGGTATGTTGAAGCAAAACTCATCATCTATATGATTCTAGTGTACGTTATAATTAAAAAAAGGATCTAGTTAATCCATTTCAAGACTTCTTTTGGGGGGCCTTAGATAAATTCAGATTCACCATGAAAATTCTCACTTTTGATGGAATAGTTTGGGTGTGCCTCAACTAATTTTACGAATATGTGCTACCTCTAACCTTTCTTTTAATGTTTCATCAAAATGCTTTAACATAGATTATTTTCCTGCTAAGTAAAATAAAATGTTTTGTTGATGAATGATGAAATGTAATTGGACTTTAGAATTGTATAGTCATTTTTTCTTTCTTGAAATCTGTGACAATGGTGAGCAGGAGAAAGAGGGCATCTACTAGCAGTGGAAATGAATGATATTAAAGGTGCAACAGAAACTAAGATTGAGGTTAGGGAACTGAACAAGGTATCAGATAAGGGTGATTCTATACTGAAGAGTGTTAGAGTTGACATAACAAGAGGAGTAATCATGGGGATTATTGGCCCCAGTGGTAGCGGAAAATCAACAATTTTACGAGCGCTAAATCGATTATGGGAACCCCTAAGGGCACTGTTTTTCTTGATGGTACTGATATTTGTGATCTGGATGTGCTCTGTCTTCGTCGTAAGGTTGGCATGTTGTTCCAGCTTCCAGTTCTCTTTGAAGGTATGGTTGTTAAATTGCTAAGATCAAACTAAAAACGCTAACCTATTAGTAAATTAGACAGACTTGAACTTGACCAATTTGAAAGTTCACTGTGTCTGATACAATCACAGTAACTACTGATGCTTGATTCATGAATATGTAGGTACAGTGGCAGATAATATACGTTACGGGCCAAAACTCAAGGGAAAGAAACTAAGTGATAATGAGGTTTACAAGTTGCTGACTTTGGCTGATCTAGACTCATCTTTCTTCAACAAGTCAGGTGGGGAACTATCTGTTGGCCAAGCACAGAGAGTTGCACTTGCCAGAACCTTAGCTAATGAACCAGAGGTGATTGAAATGCAAATATAACTCATTTTAAAACTGGAAAGAGGACTCTGTCTGACTTATTGTTCCATCTTTTCTAAGGTTCTGCTATTGGATGAGCCAACTAGTGCATTAGATCCAATATCAACACAGAATATCGAGGACGTTCTAGTAAAGCTCAAGAAGGATCAGAAGATGACAATTGTGATAGTTTCTCATAGCATCAAGCAAATACAGAGAATAGCTGATATAGTGTGCCTGCTGGTTGATGGGGAGATTGTGGAAATTATAAAGCCTGATCAACTCTCTGAAGCTAAGCATCCCATGGCACTAAGATTTCTTCAACTCAGCTCCTAGTGTATTTTAGGCGAAAAGTAGAACCAGGGACAAGGAAAGTACATCAAGGCACGAACTAGCGGAGAAGCATGATAATGGTTAGCAAGAGAGATTCAAGTCACCAAAATATGGAAGAATCTCAACCCATTCGAGTGAGCCAATCTTAACTGAGGTTAATTTAGCTACTGAAACTACGTGTAGAAAAATACACTTTAATAAAAAAGGTATTTTACCTCCCACGACAATCTTTCCGATGGCGCAACCAAGAAAAACGGGGCAAATTCTTGTAAAGGTTTTAAATAGAAATATGAATTAATATCACCAAGAATGATATTCTCTAAAACTTCAACATGTACTCAAATTAGCCTGGTAAAACAAGAATAAGCAGAAACAAGTATAAAAAAAAGGGGGGAAAAGGCAACCCTAGTGCTGGAGTTGAACTCAGTTGGAAAGCAGCCCATACCTTCACCCTAAAAGTGGGATGAAATTTAAATCTGTTAACTCTGGTATCTCATTTACAAAGTCAGTTATCTCCTACACTTTGATGTAGACTTCACACAAATTTTTGTCACTTTGGGCTTTTGTTTTCTGTTTTATATTTTTGAAGCTCTTCCTGGGAACGCTCGAGCCTACACATCAAGTAAACAGACGCTTCAAGACTACTATTTATGATATCCAAAATTAACAGGCAAGATTAATGTATAATCATAATGATAATACCTCCATCGTAAATCAGCAACTTCACGATGTAAATCCCTCTCCCTGTCAAGAGCTGCCTCCAACTACAGAGAAAGAGAGAAGGGTGTTATATAGTATGTTGGATCCTCCAAGAAATAAAGAAACGAGAGAAATTATAGGATAGTAATTCCTGGTTATGGTTGAATTTGCGGAGGATGTCGCAACAAGATTAGTACAAATCCATACCAGTGATTTCTCTACTCCAGCTGAATTTGATGGATTACATCCTGCATCCATGGCAAGGTTAGCTGAACAGATGAAGTTAGACCTTTCATATAGATAAGATACACAAAAATTCAAGAGGCATTAGTTGCTGCACCTGTGGAGTCGGCCACTTGCCTCATTGCACTAAGAATACTCTCCTGTTAAAATAAAAACAGTTTTACAACGTTTCTAAGCAGAACAAAAAAACTTAGCAAGTCATAATTTTAGATCCATTCTTACTCTTCCAATAATAGTTGCCTGTAAAGCATTCTGCAACACTGGGAATATGGACTGGGAAGAATGATTAGCTGGTGTAGGATCACTCGGCAATGGTTGAGTAGCAGTCAGATTTTCTGGAGTCGCCTGCATAATCCATAACTTCTTTTCATAAAAACAATAAAGAAAACGGAAAAGAAGCTGAGATAAGATCAGTGGTTTACTAGACTTTAAGAATTAGCAACTCGTTTTATGTTTATGTTTATAGCCCTGTATCTTATATGTTTCTGACTCATCATACATTACCAAGCAATTTGCATAATCTACCACTGCATTAATAACTCAATCCCGAAGCTCAAATTTCAAAATATTAAATAATTTGATGCGATGGAATTAATTAAACAGCCCTGAAGAATGAATTAAATGTTATAACATCAGTGGAAATTCATGAACAGACATGCTTGTCGCTGATGAGAATTACATTCACTAGTCCAGAGCTCAAATGATATGCAAACTTAGTCTAGCAACGCAGTCCTTATCAGTGATGAGAACAACATTAGCCACTACAAAATTTGATAGATTCTTGAATACTTCAAACATCCACTAAAGCAGAGATACCAAATGAGATTACTTATATCATATCTGTTTACCAGCTAAGAAAACTATTTCTTAGAGAGAGAAAAAAAGACAGAGAGGGAGAGGGTCCGGGGGGAGGGAATGCTATCAAAAACCACCTCCATGCTGTTGCTCTTTTGGAAATGAATTAACTGCAGATAAAGATGTAAAAAACGATTCCCCAGTTCAAGGGAGATTCAGCATTATTATTAAGATAAAGTTAAGTGCTCTACATTCACCTTTTCCTCCGAGGTAACTTTAAATCGTCCTTTCTGCTGAACAACTTGATACTTAGTCTTCTCCTCACAATCTTCACCGCTACCGGCTAAATACAGTCTTTATTTAGCAAGCAAATATTAAACAAATAAATGCCAGCATGTACTCAGATGAAAGTGTGTTTATAAGATCAATAATACATGCTGTATCATTATAACTTGCCTGAAGTTCTTGAATGTTTACAAGATACTTCAGCTGGCAAATCATCAGCTGTTTGAGGAAAAGCCACATTGCAACTGGATACATTTTGGGATGAACTTTTATCACTAAATACAGAAAAGAAAAGACAAATTTAGAAACTCAGCAGAAAAAAAGTGGTACCACAGCATATGGTTGCTTATCAAACTAAAGAAATAAGCACATAGAAAATGACTAAGTAAAAGGAATTAGGAAATCGATGTTATAATTTGTATACCAACAAGAATTTCGCAGTTCACAAAAGCATATCAAAATAAATTGATCAAAGAAAATTGTAAATAAATTGTCCCAGGCATTTCACTTTTTTGCCTACTTAATTGCCTGAAATCAGTAATTTAGCAAAGAAACTAGCTTTAATCCAATGAAAATCACTCTGGAAAGTAAACTGAGCTTCAGCCTAACAAGTGAAGACAACTTCAATTGAAAATTTTCTGATATTATAAGCATTTGGTAATGGCCTTTGATTTGCTGCCTAATCATTATAGAGGTAGATCAATAATTGGTATAACCTTTTTTTTATAGTTCATTGTATCCAAGGCTTGATGATGTTAGAGCCTTAGAGGTGCTCGAGGCTCACAAGCATTACAAGAATTTGGTGTTAAGATATTGTTGCAAGAGGGATATGAAACGTGGTACGAAATTCACTAGTCAGCTATACACTGCAAACTTTCCCGATGTAGGAGAAAGCAATTTGGAAACCATATCCAAGAGTCACTTGTATCGTCTATTCAAATGTATTAAGATCAGAGCAGAAGCCCAGTCAAAGTAGTCAGTTTTGGAAAAACAAAGAGCTGATACTTAATAAGTCAAGAAATATAAAATGCTGAAGCTAATAGATGCTACAACATTAAGGTTTAAAATTCACATGGAAAATGTTTAGCATCCTCAAGTGAAGATAGACCACCTCCGCGAAATAGTCAAGGGAGTTTTGAGATAATTAATGTCATACCTTTGACAAGTATTTATGGGAATTCCCTCAAATGTTTCTGCATGAATCTTTTGTTCACCTTTTCCAACAAAATTCATCTCCTCTTGGCATGGAGAAGAATTTTGAGAAATTTGAGCATCATGTAATGGACTAGCAATGCTTAAATCGTCATCAAACTTCTCAGTTTTATGTCTGAAAAGATGAAATAGGTATAGTTAAGCATCTTAGCAACTGTAATAATGCCACCAAATAATATAAATTTGGTAGGTCCTTTGAATTAGGAAAAAGCATGACGCAAGAGCAGCTTGTTAGAGTCTCAACATAAGATTGTTTACCTGCTATAATCCATGGTGCGTTCAGCAGGCGAAGGAGGAGCAGATGGATTGTTACCATCCTGTTGAGAGATGTATTATTAGGAAAAGAGACCAAAGATAGTTCCCTATCATATAAAACCAAAGGGAACATTGACATACAAATCCTGTAGCATCGGAACTTTGACTTCCAAAGGAGACTTGATACTGAAGCTTTGGAAGTTCTGGCGAAGATAACTGATATTGAAGCCGGTTTCCTTGGTTGTCAACTCCTGCGAGCGCATCTGAACTCCCCCCGTGGTCATTCTCACCAATAATTTCCTCATCTGGAATCTAAAAGTAAAAAGAGGAAAAAATGATATTGGTTGCAAACTTGCATATCCCTTGCTTTTAGGGGGAAAAAAATCCACAAAGGATAATCCAGATGTGAAGTCGTCTTATAGCAGTTGCGAAGGTGAATCATTAATATTTAAAAGACTTGACAAATTTGTGTTTGAGAAAACCAGAGCGCCACTATGCCCTCTTCACATCACATGCATTTCTTATCGAAAATCAAAGGCTAAAGCACACTTGTATGAATATTTTATTAGAACAAGTGCAATAAAATATAGGTTCAAATACCAAGGAAGCCTGTGCCTTCAAATCTTCAACATCAAAGCTCCAGCAGCTAATCCCACGTTTATATTCATTCTGCACATGATGTTGAAGCAGAGTAAGGTTCAAATTATGATGTTAAAAGGGACTTTCAAAACATGTACCTTAACTATAGGCCAGAAAAAAAAAGAAAAATGGCTGGGAACAATTACGATTTTAAGTTTGTTTCTTTTCTTTGCTTTAAGCGTAATTCTTCATATTTATTGTATCAGACGTAGTTAAGTTCTTTTCTGTTTTACTGTCAGCTAGAAGTTGTATCTTAGTACTATAGATCTCTGTCTGGGTTGAATTATCAAATAGTAACCTCCAAGTTAAGAAAAGGCTTTTCCCATAAAGTGGCAATCCTAAAATTCTAGTGAAGCTTTTTCTGGGAAAACATAGGTGTGGTATTGTTTAAATTCCTAGAAGTAGATCTATTGGAACTGTGTGGAAAATGATGTTATATTAGGCACAAAGTATAGCAAAATACTATGCATGCCAAACTAAATAAAATCCCTCAATCTCTTTTCCCAGCAAACTGCCAGTATCCTGTTTTAAGTCTAAATCACTAAAAAGTAGTATTACATAAGTTCATCTGCTATATCAATTTAACCCAGTGAGTTGTATGAGTTGCCACTTGTACTTCTGATTTTCTCCTTTTCTGTTTCTGTTACATATTTACGAGAAATAAGAACTTTTAATAGAAAAGGAACCATCTAATTGTCAAATGCAAGCCTAGCATATATATACATGTATGTGGGTGTGAATAAAAACAAGCAGGATACTGAATGCATACTCTAGAAACAGTGTGTATAGCAATCATATATTATTGCTCATGCAGGTCTAAAAATCCTTATGATTATAGAATCACAAATGCCACTTGTAATATATAATATCATAGTATACATATATCAAACCATCAGAGTCGTCAACTAGTGATATTGCTATGGTTATGACGCACCAACCTGTGACATTTCTTCTTTCTGCCCATCTGGCATCTTCTTTTGTGCTAGCAATTCTTCTTCTTTCCTCTACAATTAAGAAAAGGTGGTTGTATCCATAGAAATACTGAGGCTATGCTGTCATTTAGATGGAAACATATATGACCTCAAAAACGAGGGAATTTTGAATCTTATTATGGAATGGCAACAGACCTTCAATTCTTGCATGCGATCACCAAGAGATGGCAAGCCTTCCAACAATGTTCTTGCTACATAATCATTGGACCTAGCTTTTTTAAAGAAAGGATGCTTCAACAACTTTTTGGCTGTAGGCCTTTTTGAAGGATCTTTTACCAAGCAACTAGCAATCATTTGCCTAAAGGACTGAGAAGGAAAAAAGAATAGCACAGATGTTAACAACATCATTGAAGGATAAACATTGATAGTATGATAAATACCTTCGAGAACTTCCTGTCCCTCTCAGAATCAAGGCGTGGAGGTTCATTTTTCAATGTCATTAGCAACACCTGCAAAATGAAAAAAAAAGCAATGCATTTGTGGTCAGAAAGGATCCACAAGGAAAGGATATGTAGGATGTGACTGTCGGTACCTTCATTGGAGGGTATTTTGAGAAAGGAGCATGTCCATGAGCAAGCTCTAAAGCAGTTATGCCAAAAGACCAAATATCAGCTCTGTGGGGAACCATTCAAAATATATATTTTAAAAACAAAATACTTCCAATATATAATTTAAAAGTACAAGAAAATCAGAATATTCAAATGCACAGAAATGATACTTGAAATCGTAACCATGCACTTGCTCCATGACCTCCGGTGCCATCCTGTAAAAGAAATATAAAACTATGGAGAAACAACAACTTGTACTTTGAATCTGAACTTATCAGTATTTTTAATGTCCAAGTTTACTGAATGTACACACATCTATTGCAAAATATTCTCAGTGTTATGTATACACATGCCAATGTTCTTCAACACTTAATCAACTATTATATGCATTACATAAGCTGAATAGGGAAAAAGACAGAAGCAATCTCTGAATTAAAGCATACCAACAAGGAGTTCCAGCAAATGTATTCCGCATATGCTGCCTGTCACCTGAATCAAACATGTAGGCCGATACACCGAAATCTCCCAACTTTATTCCACCACGTGAATCAATGAGAATATTTCCAGCCTACAATAACCATACAAGTATGGTGACCTCAAGTTCCAAATGTTCCAGAAAAGTAATTGTCCTGAACAGCTTAATGATGTTCAACTGCCCATGTGGTTAAAATTACCACTAGAAGTAAAGAATTTGTCCTTTGTTATATTCACATGCGATGTTAAACACCAAACATATCCTAAATATTCTTTGTTGGTTCCATGTCCAAACTCCAAAGAGATCCTCAAATGAAATTAATTAGCAAGTTGCAATAGAAGTCCAATAGACACCCTATGTAATAGGGCAGAAGACTTTTTACAGAAACCTCATGCTTGAAGATGTATCTCATCAATTTCTTTAATAAAGGCTAATGAAAAGAAACTTATGTAACAGATGGACATACTTTGACATCCCGATGAATGTAGCCATGATCATGAAGGTATTCTAAACCCTTTAGCACTTCACGTAGAATTGTCGCAATGACAACCTCTCCAAAACCATCTGGATAAGCAGACTTCAGTATGTGGAGACAGGAACCTTGAGCCATGTAAGGCATGACAACCCATAGATTGTAATCACAGACAAAGGAGCAGTATGATTTAAGAACATTGGGATGATCAACCAGGACCATTATTTGTGCTTCCCGTGACACAGAGTTCTGGACATAAATGTGAAAAATAAATTCAACCAATTTGTTTCATCATAAAATCAAATTATCAGCAACCATAATGCAAACAATTGATAATATCTAGTAATCTATTTCACAAGATTATTCATCCGAATACAAAGAAAATGCATCACATTCAATCCTCAAATTTCACTAAGATGATAAGAACTACACAATTATGGATTCACATGAAAAAACAAAGATCAAGGAGCTCTTATGCTAGGCGATAAAACCAAAACAGAGCTTTTTGATATCACAACTTATTCTTCTAATCATGCATTTAAATTATCATTGGTCTCCATACAAACTAAGACAGACCTCTTTCAAGGTGTAAATCTTTCTTAGCTGCTTCCCACTAGGTAGGATTTAGTCATATACCTCATCAATCCTAAAGCAAAGACACAATTTCTTAACAATTCACTAGAAAACCTTATATTCCTCCAAACCATTGATATAACACCTTTATGAGTAGTTATTTCAGTACTGAAAAAACACAAGTTGCCAAAGATCAATAAAACTTGAGAACTCAAAAACTGTGAATTGAACGTCATATATAACACTTGAAAACAGAAGTCTATACAAAAAACTAGCAAGCATAACAAAAAAGATGAAAATTTGTACCAGATCACATTTATCACGCTCGAAATCTAGGATTTTGATTGCAACGATCTCATTGAGAGGAATACAAAGAGCGCGATGAACCAAAGCGCTAACTCCTTTCCCTATTTCTTCATAGACTGTATATTGTTCGGATCCAATCGGATATTGTGTTCGCTTTGCGCTTGGCTGCTTCGGTAAATTTGTTTTCTTCTCCATTGTTCCAAAAACTCAGTTCTTCACTTGACCTATTGAACGTCAAAAAACACAAAATTGCAGTTTGCATGAAATCACAGATGCTACGTATACAGAGAACTTCAAAATCCAATGCAGAGAAAATTGAAGTTTGAAGCACTACAAATAATCAAAATCGAAGAGAAAAAAATAAAATAGTTACGGCGATTTAGTTGATATCAGCAGACTCTGCGCCCCGATTTTGTTTGCGATTTAGTTCCGTATACCGGTCGATATACGTGTTGTGTGTATCCCATCTGAATAGGTACTCTCTTTTTTCTTTTTTTTCCTTTTTATTTTTGTTAAAAAAAATCATGTAAAATATACTTAAAATTGTGTTTTGGTTATTACGTAAAAAGTTAAATATATAAAAGTGTAGCTTAAAAATCTTTTTATAGGTAAATCGCTTATTTTAGTAAATACTTTGTTAAAATAGCTTTTCAGAAGAGTGTTTTTCAAAAAAAAAAAATTGTGTTTGGGTAATTAATTTGAAAAGTCTTCTTATAAGCAAATTGTATTCAGCTAATTTTTTTAAAAAAAAACATCTGAGAATCAAATGATGATTAAGGATAAGCATTGGTGTACTGTTAATATTAAGATTATTTTATAGAGAAAAACTAGTATAAACATTTACTTAAAAAATAAGTTAAATTTTAGACTAATTTAAATATCTATTACAAAAAAATTATTTTTATCAAACTAAAATGTTCATATTCGAATTTTCAATCGATATCATATATTTTTTAAAGGGATGAAGTTTTTAATTGTTTTTCTCTATTCTCACAAAATGTTGTTCTTACCTTTTTGTTTCCTAATTCTGTGAAATAAGAGATAAAATAATAATACGTAAACGTAAAATTGATTGTTGGAGTGAGATTGTATTTTCAAATTCTTGAATCAAACAAAGGAGAAGAGATAATTGAGTGATAAATATAGAAAGAGAAAATTAAAAGATTGTGATTGATTTGAAGTGAAAGGTAAATTAAGAAGATAGTTAATCAATGCTAATTTTAAGGTATATTAGAATCCGATTATATCTTCCATAAAATATGATACATAAAATATTAAAAATGCTAATATATATAATGTTAGTATATATGGTAATGATATATGTCTAATAAGGTAGTTTATTATATTCTAATATAAGAATTATTTTTATTATTATTATTTATATATTAGTCCATGTAGTTCTATTTTATTTTTATTAGATATAAAATACTTATTTATTATTCAAATATCTTAACGTTTATCAGAGAATTACGTTTTTTTTAAATATTTTTGCTAATATAATATTGAACTACTAATTTATTTGAATTACAATCTTTATAATAATAATAATAATAATAATAATAATATATGTTCAAATATTTAAAATAAATGATCTTAATTATTCATATTATATTCATATACAAACATCTTAATCTTAATTAAAATAACTGATTATTATTTTTATTTAAAACTAGAATCGACGCAACGGTCTACAAATTTACTAATTTTGCAATCTTATTTAACAAAAACCAAAGAATCGATCAACTTAATTTACTGATTTTGCAATCTTATTTAACAAAAACTAAAGAATTGATCAACTTATATATACATTGATAGTCAAACTAAAACAATTTAAGTCTTAATATATATGTGATATCATTTATCTTTAAATTAAGTTCGAGCAACTTTTGTTAAAAGTGTCTCTCAATTAAGAATGCATATAATTCACCTAATTAATATATATAGTTTTATTATCATTTCAACTATACCACTATGTAAATTTTGTTGGCACCCCATGAAAATAAATTATTATATATAGTTTCATTTTACTATAAACTTAATGTGTGTCACCATTCCCCATCAATGAGTATCCATAACCATGAAAGCTACATATAAAAGTAATAAACCATAATTTTCCTAAAAAGATTTCTCACCATTGAAAGTATTATTTATTACTACTATATATAAATATATACGTAGCTTCATTTTATTTCTAACTACATATCAATGTGGAAATTTTGTTTCCATACTAAAAGACTTCCTCCGAATTAAATTTTACACCAACAGTTACTCCCTCATGATGCTTCATTATTATATAACTAAAACTAATTAATGGCTCCACAAATTATTATTACTACTTCCTTAGTTCCTTTATAGTTGGTATTATAAAAGTTATGAACAATTCTTAAGTTTGACTTATATATTCATTGTTAATTAATTTTTACTTCTTTGTCTCTTAATTTATGTGATACTATTCATTTGTCAAACAATTTAAGTTTGATTAGAAATTTACGTATGAAAGCTTCAAGTTTTTTTTAAAAAAAAAATTGTATATTTATAAACTACATAAAAATATTGTAAGTCACAATAATTGAAAATTCATAAATAATTTAAAAGAAATATGAAAAATTTATGGTTAAAAAAATAGACTTGTTCGAATCTCAAAATTCAAAAAGTGCAACATAAATTAAAACGGAGGGAGTAATTTTTTTTAAAAAAAAAATCTGTTTATGTACTTTTGAATTATAAAATAACTAATGCTAAGTGAAGTTGAAAAAAATCAATTAATTTTTATATTAACATAAGACAAATATTTTTTTAAAATACATTACAATTAGAAAGAAATAAAGAAAGTGAATACTAGTAGCATAGTCATAAAATTCGGAAACAAATTAGAAAAAAACATAGACAAAGATAAAATTAAGGAAAGATAAAAATTACTATTAGAAATAATATTTGAAAAAACAGAAATCTTATAAAACAATTAGTCTAAAAAATTGATTACAAGACCCAGAGCGATCCAACAAAGAGGAAAAGTAGTGGTATCTAAGGAAGCAAAACAAAAATACGAGCTCCTAGAGAGATAAAATAGAATCACAAACACTATATTACCAAATGTCCTTGTTGTGTTATATATGGTGGTATTGTTTGGTGAAGAACCTTAAATTTGAAGAGATTGCCAGTATTCCTCAAAGGACTCATCTGGAGGCGAACTATCGTGTAATATGTTATGCAATCCATCCAAATCCAAATCAAAATTAGTTCCCTCAATTTTCCCTTCATTACTCTGATTTTGGTAAACATTCGTCGAGGTTTGATCTGTCGGATCCACAAACACCCCTTTTCCCATTGGCACAATATTGCCTTGAAGTGGCGTTGAGTTAGTATTTGATGTTTGACCAATCTCGAATAGTGTTGACTTAGTATATGACATTTGATCAATCTCGAATGGTGTTAAATTAGTACTTGATGTATGGTTAATTTCAATTGGTATTGACTTAGTATTTGATGTTTGACCAACCTCATAAGTGGTTCTCATACCATCCAATATTAATGCAGCCTGACTATCACATAGATAATTTGAACTCATGGTTGTATCATGTGGCGGATCAGATGCGATGAATTTTCGCTTTACTGATAGTTGTGGTTCTCCATTGTTATTATGATCACTCATGAGGAGATTGGGGTCAGTTAAAGTTTCCTCTTTGACTTCTGGTTTTTTCTTATAAATTCTGCAGGCTGCAATATCCTCGTACTGCAAGTAATATACAAAGCAAAGAATAATCTTAGTAATCTATGTTTCGGTCAGCAATATGAAAAATACGATAGAAAACTAGTTAAGAAGAGACGGTATGCATACATATTCGTCCTCTATTGAGGGTTTGACGATCTTGCAAGAAATTACATACTCGTGCATTATCCATTGTGCGGGGATGTCGTCACCTTCTGGGTTTTTAAAATAGTATTTAAGTGTGGTCTTTTTACCCAACTTAGAACCATCTTGAGCGACTACTATACTTTTTTTGTTCGTTGATTTCCAGTATCCTCTTCCGTCTCTTGTAACCCGAGAAGTGTTTTTCGTTCCATTGACATACTTTCGATCTCTCTTCGTGAAGAAGTACGTATACTCCCCATCCATATTAACTCCTGCAATACTTATATAATCAGCTTGAAGTTTTTTTTACTTGTATGAAGAAAAAAAATGATGTTATATTAGTCATTCGAAGTTGAAGTTATGATACCTGGAAGGTAATCAGGGTCACATTCGTAGAGATCGACTAGAGGTATTATTCCGGGCAAGATATAGTTTCCGGTGACATAACGAAAAAGATAATATTGTAGTATCTCTTCATCCGTAGGAATAAACCTGAAACCCGGTGGGATTTGTTGCTTCCATTCTTCTTCTCCAGACATTAATTTGCCCTAGCTTAGATAATCGTTAACTTCTAATATGTGTCGTTTTTGTTTTAGATTTATGGTTGTCTTTTTATAGAATTTCAATTATTATGTGTTCTACTAGATTTAGACTTCCTAATTCTAATATATTTGAGCTATAAACTTTACCTTGAGTTAGATGGTTTAGATAATAAATATCTTTTAACCATCCCACTTTAATTACCATGGTAGTAACTTTGCCTTGTTTTACATGGTTTAGGTAATAAAAAATATCTTTTAACCATCCCAGTGTGATTACCAAGGTAAGTAACCAACCCACGGTCCATAACTCAGTAAGAGAAGTAGATAACTGAAGAGCAAAGGTAGCCATCAACACAAACAACTTTAGGTGCAAATCCAATATGATCGAAAGGATATAGATGGGCTTGGAGATAGGTCGGTTCGGTTCGATTTTGAAGATTGCTAAAATAGTGAAAAAAGAGAAAGGTCCCCAGGCTAACTCGCAGTACAGCATCTGTTTCAAAATAGTGCAAATGCATACACAGGAATCAGGATAAGTTTTCTTATTATTGTTGTTTTTTGGGTTAAGAAAAATAATTAAACAATCTTAATATAATATTTACATAAAAGGGTCAAAGATATTCTTAAACTATCTGAAATAGCTCATGTATATCCCCTTAAGTTATATTTTGGCTCAAAATTACTATTCCCATCAAATTATTGGGTCAAAAATGTCCTTCTTATTAATAGAAGTTTTTAAATGCCACATGACACACCAATAGAGTTCCACTGCCACATAGTCCAAAGGAAAAGGGTAAAAAATACCCTTAAACTATCTGAAATAGCTCATATATACCCTCAACTATATTTCGGCTCAAAACTATCATTCCCGTCAAACTATTGCGTTAAAAGTGATCTTCTTATTAGCGGAAGTTGTTAAATGCCACATGGATGTCATATTGCACGCCAATAGGGTTCCACTGTCACGTTGACTAAATTCCTAAATCTTAATTACTCGTGTTCCCCTCATTTCATTATTTTTCATAAACGATTTCAGCCCTACTCCCTCATTTTGCGGCTAGGGTTTCACAGTTTTCTTCGTCGCTGGATTTGTAAGTGGATATTTGTGGTTGTAGGTTAGTAAAACTTTTTTCTTCTTTTATTGTGTTTACAACCACGAAATCCACATTGAAATTCAACTCCGAAGAAAATTATGAAACCTTAGCCGCGAAATGAGAGAAAAGTTGTGAAATCCTAACTATCATACTTTAATATCATAAGCATAATAAAATAAGAAAAAATATTTACTAACCAACAACCATGAATATACACTTCGAAACTCAGCCTCGAAAAAAGCTACGAAATCCTAGCCGTGAAATAAGGGGAAAGTTCTGAAATTCTAATTATCATGCTTTGAAATCGTAAACATAATAAAATAAGAAAAAAGATTCACTAACCTACAACCATGAATATCCACTTTGAAACCCAGCCACAAAGAAAACTGTGAAACCCTAACTGCGAAATAACGGAGAACGGGTGAATCGTTTCGGGAAAATAATGAAATATGGGGGGGGGGGGGGGGGGAAGTAATTAGGATTTAGGGATTTAGTCTATGTAGCGGTGGAACCTTATCGGCATGCAATGTGGCATCCATATGACATTTAACAACTTCCGTTAGTAAGAGTTACTTTTGACCCAATAGTTTGACGGGAAGACTAGTTTTGAGTCGAAATATAGTTTAACGGTAAATATGAGCTATTTTTAATAGTTTAAGGTATTTTTGACCCTTTTCTTTTAGTTTACGTGGCAGTGGAACCCTATTGGCATGCAATGTGGCATTCAAATGGCATTTAACAACTTTCGTTAATAAGAAGGGTACTTTTGACCCAATAGTATGATGGGAAAGATAGTTTTGAGCCGAAATATAGTTTAAGGATATATTTGAGCTATTTCGATAGTTTAGGGTATTTTTGAGTCTTTTCCATAATATTTATACTAAGCTACTGTAGTAATTCATGATAGGAAACGATACAGTAATTTTGGGGGTTAGAGATTTTAAAATTATTATATAATTACCTTATTAATTTAATTTACTATTTTGAAGTTTGGATTTGATATTATGTGATATGATAATTTGGTAATCATAATTAATTTGTTCAACTTATTCGATTAATATATACTTGTATAATAGAGTTTTATGACTTAGACAATTCAATAAAAATAGTCTCAATTAAATCATACTAACACATTACATATGTAGAAATATAGATGCAAAAGAAAATACAAAAAAATCTTTTTGTTAATCAATTACATTTTAATCAAAATGGAGTGTATATATTACATAGTGTGTATGTGTTATTCATATAACTATATACTTTTTTATAGTATTTGATATTTCGATATGTTATTCGTACATAACAAATACCATATCGAATATAAAAAAATTAAAATATATATCATATCAAACACTATAATATCAAATCACAATATCAAAAAATTTAATACAATATAATAATTAAGCATATACATTATACCATACCATGCTCACGTCTAAATTAACATATTATTTTTAATGAAATAGAATGCGATATAAATATATATATTAGCAAGGAAAAATAAATTACTTTTCTTATTCTAATTTTATGTGATACTTTTTGTTTCCCAAAATCTAATATAACTAAATTTTGAAGCTAAAATTCAAGCATAATATGGAAATATACCTTTTAAGTTGGTTATGCATAAATAAACACTTAAATTTGTATTAAATTGGACAAGTAGATACACATTTTCTATATGTCATAATACAGAACGCATGAATTGCCACGTAAGTAGAGGCGGAGCCAGAATTTTCAATAAGGGGGTTCAAAATCTATAGAAATAGACACATGAAGTAGTCGAAGGGGGTTTGATGTCTACTATTTATACATATAAAATTATTTTAACCATGTATAAATAATATAATTTTCCGCCGAAGGGCGAACCCCCTTCGTACAAGGTGGCTCCGCCCCTGCACGTAGGACTTCAAGTTATAGAGTGTGTGTCTGCTACTTCAATTTTAATAAAAATAAAAGTATTTATCTGTGTACACCTAAAATTGAAGGACATAATGTCAAATGAGGCCAAATTAGCTCCTAAAATTCTATTAGATCAACTCAATAATTAAAATTAATACACAAAGTGTCCCGTAATATAATATTTCCTCTGTCTATTGTTGATTGTCATGTTGCGTTTTTCAAAAGTCAATTTGACTAATTTTCAAAGTTAAATTATATTATATCAATTCGATATTTTAAACAAAAAATTTATATATTCAAAGAACGAAAAGTACTATAAATTGCAATTTTTTGCATATCAATATGATTAAAAAAAATATAATGTTAGTCAAAGTTTATATAGTTTGACTCTAAACTATGACAATTAAAAATGGATGAAGCGAGTATGAAGTATTTAAGGACAAAAATATAGCACTCCCTCTATCTACTTTTAATTGTCATGATTTCCATTATTAGAATCAAATCATAAAAATTTTAATTGACATTTTACAATGTATTTTTTTTATCATATTAATATGTAAAAAATTACAGTTTATAATACTTTTCATAAAAATTTTAAATATATAAATTTTTATTTATAAAATTAAAATAATACAATTTAATTTATTTTTAAAAATTAATCTAGGCAACGATAGAAAATCATGAACATAATAAATTAAAGTGGCTAATTGGTCAACTCATAAACTCTACGAGCCTCATTCATCTAAACATTAAAGTTTAAACAACCACATAATTACTAAGAAACATAAATAATACTACTCTATACCCTTAATTTCTCACCTCTCTTGAAATAAAGTACTCAATAATTAATTCTTCAAAATATCAAAACTAAGAAACAATTGATATACCCTTCACGTAACCAATTGTGGTGCAATGGTGAGGTGAGGTTGCTCCAACTTTAATCAGAGGTCTCGAGTTCAAATTCTGAGTAGGGAGAAAAAGATAAAAATTCCTCAAGTTGATGACATGATTCAAACATCATAGGCAACACAAATGACTCTAAATCTCCAAAAATAATATGACTATCCTCCACAAAGCTACTACTGGAATCTTGGCAGTCAAAGTACGTTTGTATGTCATCTGGGAATGTAGTAATCCTCCTACATTTCTCCACCTCCGGTGGTGTCTCCGGGCAGTCTACGACGGACGACGATGTCTTTTCTTCTTTGTTTGTGTTAGGCATGGGAATATTCATGTCATTAGGGTTTGCACCTAAAGAATTGTTGTAACGGCTGATGTCAAAATTTGTAACAGCGTTTGGTCCACGGTACTGTATAGCTGCCATATCATATGCAATTGCTGCTTCCTCTTCACTAGCTGCATGCATGTTAATAGTATTAATTAGTAACCGAGTGAAGTAACGAAAACATTCTTGAATTAGCTTGGCGCAAATTATAAGTTTTGTTTATAGATAATCTTAAAAACATCACTTTACGACCTTTTATAGCAACTAGCATGGTGCTCTTAATAAAAAATCGAGAGAGGTTAATTGAATAGCATATCTAGCAGTTGAAAGTTGGTGATCTAGCTAATATATCCAACGACCAACTAATATAATTAATCTAACTTGTTCTTCTCTGATTTGACTCATCTTTATTCTGTATCTGTTTCTATATTTTGATTCTTTTGGGATTGTTAATATTGAATTAGAGTGCGTTTGGATTGACTTAAAAAGGTGGAGTAGTTTTTAAGTTAAAAATAAAAAGTCAAACTAAAATAACTTTTTAGTCAAAAAATAAAAAAATAGAGGGAGACCTACTTTTGATTACTAAACTTATTTTAAGTCATTTTTATCTTATTTAAAGTCATTATTTACCTTGTCAAACACTTCATAATTTATTTTAAGTCATTTTTGACTTATTTTGAGTTATTTTTTATATTTGTCAAATACTTTCAAAAGTCAAAAATCTTAAAATTAGTAAGTTTGACCGACTTTCAACTCAATCCAATGGACTCTTAATATATATACAGGCCCTAAAATAGTAACTAAAGTAACTGAATGTACTCATAATGTACAATTATATAAAATTTCAATTTATGACACATTATTTTTCATTTTTCGAGAGTCAAACAGTTTAAGTTTGACCAATAATTTACGCATGAAATTTTCAAAATTTTTGAAATGAAATTTATATACTTGTACCACCTAAAAAGTACTATAAATCACAATATTTGACAACTCAAAATAGTTAAAATATGAATAGAAAATTTACGATAAAAAAAAATATATTTGAATCTCTTAATCCAAAAAGTACCACATAATTTGATACGAAGAAAGTAATAATATATAAGCTCTAGGTCCATGCAGTGACATATGGCATTCAAATAAACTCCCTTTGGTAAATTTTAGTTGTGCATTACTAAGCATCTTTTAAAAGATAATGATTGATATAATTTTATCACAATATTTATATTAATTGATGTTACCGTAAGTACCATATGTTCCAAGGTAGAGATACTTATTTCCAAACACCCTGCCAATGCGAGCCTCCCATCGTCCATTGTGATGGTGTCTACAAACATGCATGAGTAATACAAAATTTCGTTACACAAAGAACTTCAGTAATAAATCATACATTAAAGAAAGAAAATAAATAGATTTTTAATGTTTAATCTTTTTTCACTTTATGTGGTGTAATTGTGAGCACATGTTTATGAGAGGCGTGAAAACTTAAAACTGAAAAGCATTGTATTGAAAAGCTCAAAGTCAAGATTAGGACGACATATCAAATGGCACAAAAATTATGGGAAATGTTAGCTACAAGTTTGACTAAATAGGCTTTCTCATTATCTGATAGGTCCCGTGTTTCACTCATGTTATTCTCGATATTTAAATAATTCACTTAAAACTGAAAAGCATTGTATTGAAAAGCTCAAAGTCAAGATTAGGACGACATATCAAATGACACAAAAATTATGGAAAATGTTAGCTACAAGTTTGACTAAATATGCTTTCTCATTATCTGATAGGTCCCGTGTTTCACTCATGTTATTCTCGATATTTTAAATAATTCACTTAAAACTGAAAAGCATTGTATTGAAAAGCTCAAAGTCAAGATTAGGACGACATATCAAATGACACAAAAATTATGGAAAATGTTAGCTACAAGTTTGACTAAATATGCTTTCTCATTATCTGATAGGTCCCGTGTTTCACTCATGTTATTCTCGATATTTAAATAATTCACTTAAAACTGAAAAGCATTGTATTGAAAAGCTCAAAGTCAAAATTAGGATGACATATCAAATGGCACAAAAATTATGGGAAATGTTAGCTACAAGTTTGACTAAATAGGCTTTCTCATTATCTGATAGGTCCCGTGTTTCACTCATTTTATACCGATATTTAAATAATTCACTTAAAACTGAAAAGCATTGTATTGAACAGCTCAAAGTCAAGATTAGGATGACATATCAAATGGCACAAAAATTATGGGAAATGTTAGCTACAAGTTTGACTAAATAGGCTTTCTCATTTATTTGATAGGTTCCGTGTTTCACTCATGTTATCCCCGATATTTAAATAATTCATGTGCTAAATGACCAGAAAATTTAGTCAGAATTTGGTCAGAAAATTTTTAAAATTATAATATTTTTTTAATTTTAAAATAAATTGATCTCTTTTTTACTTTTAATAAAAGAATTTAAAAAGTAAAATTACATAGAAAAAATTCATTCTGGCCAAATTTTCTGGCTGAAAAGATTTTTCCATAATTTATAATCAAACGCGATTTAATAAAATTATTATTTAATTTATTAAAATGTAATAAGTTAAACATAAACAAATGAACATATAATTATTCGGAGAAAGATAGTGTTAGTTTTGTTATAATTTCTAGCTCCGTCGTTGTACCTAGACCCTCCTAGATGGCTGGCCAAAACATGCAATAACTTCCCTTCGCTTTTTTCAATTGACAAGTGTTAAATGATCAGAAAATTTAAAAATTATAATATTTTTTTATTTTATAATATACTAATGTTTTTTCTATTTTTTAATAAAAAATATTAAAATTAAAAAAATTAAAAATTTATATTAAAAAAAATTCATTTTGATCAAATTTTCTATCCAAAAAGATTTTTCGTCGTAAAGATGGGCCTTTCGATGGCTTTAATAAAAATGCAGAACTTTTAGACCACTGCAACATGACTTTTGAGACAGTTTCAAGTGCCGAATATTTGGTTAGATACGCTGCATAATATGGAAACTCCCTTGATTTCAATTCGTGTGTTTATTTCGCTTTTTATATTAAATATTTATTATAATAAAATTAGAGGATATAAATATGCGTATTTTATTTATTTATTTTTATTTAAGATTAAAAGATTTAAATATCTATTATATTTTTAAATATATATATATCAACTACCAAGTTAGTCAAAATCCAAAATACATTAGAACGAATGAAGTGTACACGGGGAACATGACATGAGAATATTCACTCACAATCAACTCTAGCCAAGAAAATGTATATAAGCCTAGCGACGTTATTTTTTTCATTCATTTTTATTTATCTACTATATTAAAAATTTATATTTATTTTTGTTTGTCAAATTTGAAAAATGAAAAAATGATAATCATTTATGCACAAACATTTCTCAAAACATTAAATTTATTATATTCAAAGAGTGATTCAATAAAATTGTTATTCTATTTATTGTCTTTTATATGTCAAATCAATACTAAACAAATAATAATGAAAGGAATACGAGACTAATTAACTAATTACGTACCTTGCTACTCCTCTATATCTCGAGACTCCTCTTGAAAATCCACTACTTCTCCTTCAAAATAAAACACTCATTACTTAAATTAGTACAAAAATATAATTGGAACCTTTATTTTTCTATACATACCTTCTCAAAGAACCAATATATTCTTCTCTTGATTGAGTTTCCATTTCTTTTATCTCTTTTTCATAAGTAGACACCTACATTAATTATAATTCGTAGCAAAAGAAAATACAAATCAGGAATGTAATTAGTGATCATAGAACATAAATTTGCACTAACAAAGATTAATATATTGAGTATATAATTAAATAGAAGATGAAAGATTATATAAATTACAGAGAAATTAAGGATTGTGTGTTGACCCCAATACTTTAATGCTGCCAAGTCATATGCATGTGCAGCTGCTTCTTCCTCATTGTAGGCCCCTTTAAAAAATAAGATAAGATTTCATTCAATTTTGGCAAGCTGCTAGCAAAACTAAATTTCCTTAAACAAATTTAATTAAACCTTCCTTTTTAAAAATTGTAATATTTCATTAAAATATTGCTTAATAATTCCAAAACAGAAATTAATTTTTTATTTGAATGATAATGATAGAAAACTTACCCAAGTATACTGAATTTTAATTGGATGTCATCACGACCACCATTTAATCAAGAGCAACAAAAAGGAAAAAAAACTCCGATCAGATGTGTTGAACAATATCGTAATAAAATAATGATCACTAAATAGGAAATTAATTACAAATTAACAAATAGTTAAACTAAATACATCATATCAAATTATCAATAAAATATCGATTATAGCAGGTAAACTTTCTTATTTTCGATATTATACAAAAAAAAAAAACACGAACCTTGTCTTCCTTTTTTAGTCTGCGATTCGTTCCAACAATTTTTATCCCATAAATGAGCTTCATATCGACCCGTCCATCTGTGCCTAATAGGAAAAAAAATACAGCAAACTTATCATCGTCGTAAACGAATATATGTATAAGTATGTATATATATATACATACCTGGTGACACCTCTGTATATTGAACTACGTCGTTGAGGCGGCGAGTCTCTGGGTTTTCGCTTCGTCTTCACTTTAGAAATGCTATTATCAGTATCCTTGTTGCTTAAACAAGTGTTTTGTTTACTCAATTTTGAGGTTTTCGCCATATATATTATTTGAAAGTTTGCCCAAATATAGTGAAGTAAATAGACAAAAAGGAGTATAGAAAGTGGAATAAAAATAGAGTGGGGTTTATGTTTGTATATTATATATTATATATAGAGAGAGTATGGATATTGGCCGGCGCTCGATCAATAATATTAGTACGTTTATTTATGTTTGTCTCTCTCATTCTTCATCGTATAGAAAATAAAATATATCACTCCTTCTGTTTCAAAATAAATTAACTACTTTTCTTTTTTAGTTTGTTTAAAAAAAATGATCTTTGTTTTTTATAATATTTTAATTTCAAATTTTTCATGTGACATGTTTAAGACCACAAAATTAAAGAATAATTTTGTATCTAACATTAATTTAGGACCACAAAATTCAAAAGTCTTTTTTATATTCTTAAATTTCGTGTCAAGTCAAATCAGATCATTAATGAAGAGAGTAACTGTTACTCTCTCTGTCCCATTTTATGTGGCACTTTTCATTTTCCGAGAGTCAATCAGTTTAACTTTGACCCGGCATTTGCGTATAAAATCTTCAATTTTCTATGAAAATGAAATTTATATATTTGTAAATTACGTAAAGAGTAATATAAATCACACTAATTAATAATTCAAAATGTTAAAAAAAACTTACGATAAAAAAATAGCCTTGTTTCAATGCAAAAAATATGACATGAAATGAAAGGGAGGAAGTATAATAATGCTGATTTGATAATATAAAAAGCATTTAGTTCGGTAACAAACTAGAAGATTTAGGGTATAGTGTCAACTGTCAAACATTTTGCACGTTTCCGACTTTCTTTTGCAGACATTTTAATTTTTTGAAAACCGGCCACTCACTTCCAAAAATAAGATTTAAGGTGGAAAACTAAGAATATGATAATATTGAATGAGATGGTAAAAGAGATAAGGATTGAGCTAAATAGTAAGGATCCACTAATGAGTTAAAAGGATTGTGGCTGTGTGTTGATGCAAGTAAAATCAGAGTGACTAGTCGTTGATCCACTTCTCTCTTGGTCCTTATTGACACATCGTTGTCCTCAATTATTTATATTTTACTTGATTACTTTCATATTATGGTTGGGTCCTACTCCTATCCTAAGCCAAGTTACATCGTTTAGGATGCGTTCAGTTTTGATAATCGTGTTTTTAATTTCTTAAAAATATTTATCTATAATCTAGATAAAAGTTATGTAAAGATAAGAATATGTGGTGATAAAAATAAAGCTACACGAAAAATTGTGAAAGTAAGGTGAATACAGGGTGAGTAATTTGTTTTACTGATTAAATAGACAATCGACTAACCCAATTGGGCTAGCAAATTTCCCTGAGGATGACTTGGACGATCGGAGCCTCTAATAGTTAATGATGACAGAGTCAAAAAATTTCATCACTAGAATTTAAAATATAAAATTAAGTGCATGCTCTTTAATTACGATTAATATATAAAATAATTTTAATTATATAACATAGTATAAATTTCTGAATTTACTCGTCTCCGCCCCCCTGACTGGACGGTATATGCTGGACCACGCCCAATATATAGAAATATGTAAATATTGAACAATTAAAATGTAACTCTCTTACAATAATATTGAAAAGGAAAACGTCAAAAGTATTACAATTTTCTTGAGATGATTTTTTGGGGGTTTAGGAAGATCTGGACTTCAAAATGCTAGATTTGGCCCAACACAGTTTTTTTTTGTTCATGGGCCTTCCAACCAATGCCGGACCGAACCAGTGTGTGTCACAAATAGAGTAGTCAAAACGGGTACTAAGCCTCGAGGGTCAAAGAATTTGATGGATTAGGATGGGTCGAATTTTTATTTGAAAATGATTGTTCCAACTCAATTCTAGAAGGGTCGACTGTGGTGGATTAGCTTTTTCTTTCTTTTCAAACTTAAATTATATAAGGGGTCGTTTGACAGGAAGTCTTAGGATAAATAGTCCATGTATTATTTCTGATAAGAATTTAGATATATGTATAACTAATTTATGGACTAGTTATACAACCTACATAGTATTAACTTTTTTTTAACATGTCTATCGAAATTATATGAAAGTACATGCTAATTACAATCATAACATACACTATGCATATGATTATTGGTGCTTTCAACAACAATCTCATATCTGAAATATATAATATCAAAAAAATAAAGAGATTTTCCTATCAAATATAACAAATAATGATGTTGTTTCAAGAATTCTAACAATTAAAGAATATAATAATAATTTTTTAAACAAATAAATAAGTAACAAAATTTTAAAAAATAAACTTGTAAATTAAAAGATAACCATGTCTTAGAAGTAGTTATTATTTTAATTCTAATTAAATTAATTTGTTTTGGTCCATGGATTGATCTTAACCCGACCTTGATCTATCCTGAAGAGTCGGAGCCCAATGCTTATTTGAGTCGGGCTTATAAACTTTAATAGGTTTGAAAATTGGAAAAATTATATAGTTTAGCAAATATATATTATTTAATTCCTAACATAACTACAATATGCAATAATTATAATTCGGAACTTACTTCTAGTTGTAATTACATTCTCTCCACTCTCTATGGAATCTCTCTCACCGCTCTTCTCTTTTTTCAATCATCTCTCCCTTGCCTCTCTCCTCTTCCTGCCCAGTCTTTCTCGCTTCACTTATGTCAATCTCTCTCACTTTATACAAACACAAAATACATATCTCTTCATTCTATATTCTTTTATACAAATACAAATCTTTCTTTGAACATATCTCTTTTGCCTTTCTCTTTCTCGCTTTATATATACACAAATTATACATATACAAAGCATACTTTGTGGTTATAGATAGCGAGAGAGACCAATCGAATATACAAATACAAATAGTTTAATTCAATTCAATTGTATACGAATTTAAATTGTATGCAGATATATAAATACAATGATTGACACAAATACAATTATATAATCGATTTATATATACGATTTATCTCTCTCCACTCTCCTCGTTATAACAGGTAACTACGAATTATAATTTGTAAACTATAGCTGTAAAATAGAACAATATTTTTGTTGAATGAGTATATGCGAAAATTCCCCTTAACTTAGAGCTGGCCGGAGATAAGTCCATTTTAACGGTGTAGTCACTAGTCAGTAGTCACGTAGCAAGGATGCAGGGAGGCTACTAGCGTCGGAGTCATCAATTCTAAGGAGAAAAAAGTTGGTGAAGGTAGAGAGAGAAAAATGCACGAAATGAAGAGAGAAATTAAAGCATGTAATTTTGGACCTTCATTATTATATTCAGTCGAACTAAAAAACTTAGTAGTGAAGTCAACACATCGATCTGCCCGATTGCTCGGCCCGCGTTTTTCTTCCTCATCGTTTTTCGTATTCCGTCAAGTTGACTTCACTGGTTTCCGATACCCAATGTACCTGAATTCAGTTCATCATCTTTCTCGAATACCAAATCCTCTTTTGATCACTCTATAATCCTCCAGTACTGCGTAGAGACTAAATTTTCAGATCTGAATCTCGTCAGTTGTCGTCGGAGCCACTTTAGTTATGGGCCAAGAAGATGCGGTTTCATTTGAAGGCCAACTACGCAGAGACGAGAAGCCGAAAGATAGAATTTCAGGTCTGATTTCTCGGCAATTTTATTGGTTAAGAAAACTAATTGAAGAGCTACACTGGAGCTTTGTTTCGTCTGTGGTTATTTTGTATGGGATAAATCAGGGTATGAGTTTGGGGCTAAGCCGAATTAGTACGCAGTATTATATGAAAGATGAACAGAAGTTACAGCCATCTGAAGCACAAGTTTATGTTGGAATAATTCAATTGCCTTGGGTTGTAAAGCCTCTTTGGGGACTTTTAACTGATACTCTTCCTATTTTAGGATATAGGAGGCGGCCATACTTCATTCTTGGTGGTAAGTTCATCATTTGCAAATGAAATCTGTTTTAACTTTTAGCTTAAATAAGTCAATTTTATGCTTTATGATTCTGCAATAGTCTATCTAGTGGATTATGCTAGCTGGCAATGTCATTTAGCAGAGCAATTTCGTCATATGTTTCGAAGTTGATGTAAATCTTCACGTTGGCTATTCAATCATTTTTATTTTTTTACAAGACTTTCAATCATTAAGCAACCATATTTTGATTTTTTTTTTGCTCAATCTGTTTCTTGTTTCTGTATTCAACATTTATGATTTTATCCTTCGTAAAGTAATGGTAGTGTAATAGCACTGAAATATGTTTCACCATTGATCTGTAGTGAAACTATCTACTCAGGAGCAATTGCGATGACCAGCTGAAATTCCTAGAGTGTTAGGGGTTCCTTATGGATGTAAAGCTATATTTGATGAATGATTTATTATGCTATTATATGCATTACAAATATGACTTGACTAGACCTTTGTCTTCGTGTGTTAACTTTCCTGTATCTGTGATACGCCAAGGAGCTTCAATCTTGTCCCAAGCTACCATCATTTTGGTGATATGAGTTGTTCGCACTAGCTGTACAATACCAACAATAGTTTTCAGAAGCGGGTTCTTCTCTGGAATCCATGGTAATGATGATGCTTAATACATCATTAATATGATGTCACTGGGAGACGGAAGAATGTTTATGTGTTTTCCCGATAGTGACACTTCTCATTACCTTCTTATTGTGTTCCTCTCACCAATAAGAAAAATCGTGAGAGAGAGACGCTACTGTGCTCTCTGCTCCTTGTTCAAGAAATTCTAATGGATGGGTAAGAAGCTATCTTTTTACCTGTGTTCTGTTGTTCAGATCAAGGAGGCCTTTAAAAATAATTGAATGCTACGAATTTGAGCTCTCATTGAGGTCAGACCAACTCTAGTTTTATGGAGCTTGCTCATGGAAGTTGTGAGCTTCAAAAAATAAGAAAATTTGTCCAATTTATATGCTCTTTGGGATGATAAGAAGAGTTTAGATTACAATTTAAGATCTTCCTTCTTAATGAAGAGTACAAGCAAAGACTTTGTATGCAATTAGGAGGAAAAGGGAGGGGGTGGGGTGGGGTGGGACAACAGATATGACTGTGAGAAAAGCATAGGGGAGGAAAGAAGATAAAGTGAATATGTACCTTGGTTTGATTCCTGGGTCTGGAATGACTTTGCTATTCACTAACTGATCTAAAATGCAATTCAATTGGTATAGCTTCTTTACATCATACATTAATATTTCTTAAGATATAGACTGTTTGAGAGGTTAGTAGAGAACATTGTTAAGAAAGAGAATTGAGTTTACTTTCTTAATTTGAGTTTTCTTTAGAATCATAAAATTGTTATTACATTTTAAACCAACAGGATCATAACTTGGATTGCTAAAAATGTAGCAAACCAACTTGCACTTGTAATGTTTGTCTATAAAAATGATTCAATGAGCTTGATTCACAAAGTCCGGGAGGTTAGTGCATCATGGGTAACTTTGGTAAACTATTGGTGCTTGGAGAGTAATATAGTTACGAGAAGAAAACATTAACACCGGAAAGGGGGAGAGAAGTCATTGTCACATGGCTCAAAGTAGTTCAATTCCTTCTAGTCAAGAGTTATTTTCCTCTCTTTCTTTACACCACTTTCTGCTTAATTGGCTTGTGAAAATTGGGGTTCAGCTGTTCAAATTTGCCAACATCTAAACTAAACTTTTGGTTCTGTACAAGGGTAGTGCTTCTAATACATTTGCAACTAACAAATTAATGTATATCCCAAATACAAAATGCGGGTGATATAAGTTCATTCGGGTATCAGTCACATCGTGTGTAGGTGAGTATTAAATTATATTTTTCAAATTTTCGTTTGTTGGATGCTCTCTTTCCAGCAAAACAGCCTTGCAGCAGTCCATTGTGCTGGGAGAATGAGGTAATTATGTGAAGTCTCCAAAGCATGAAGTAGAACATTCAAGTCATTAGTCTAGTTACTTTATTGTAAAACCTATGTAAAGCCAAGCGTGAAGGATGAAATTGATAAGACGAAGAACCATGTTTACGTTTTTTCATCTTATACATGGAATCAAAAGAAAACATATCCTTGGTGCTTTTTCAAGTTTTTGTCAGCTGGTCTTAGTTTGATGTACTTTATTTAACCACTTATGAATTCAATAATCTCTAACTTCCAGATGCCGTGTAATTGAAATGGGAAACAGAAAATCATTCTTATGACTTACCTCACTTTGTTCTTTAGGTTTCATTGGTGTTGTCGCTATGCTTAGTCTGTCAATCAACCAGAACTTACACCTCGCATTGGCTTTGTTGTGCCTAATGGCTGGCAGTGCGGGAGTGGCAATAGCAGATGTAACTATTGATGCTTGTGTGACGGAGAACAGCATAAGCCATCCTTCTCTTGCTAGTGACATGCAAAGCTTGTGTGGTCTGAGCTCGTCAGTGGGGCAACTGTTTGGGTACGCAATCAGTGGGTTTTTGGTACATCTAATTGGATCCAAGGTTTCTTGACTGAGTTCTCTGTTATCTTTTCTTTTTTCTGTATGCAGTATCCTTTCGTCTTTTCGTTGAGGTTTGAAATTGATCAAATCATTTGTTAAGCCTGAGACTCTTACATTAAATTAGGGCAGTGCTATCTCAACAAATTTTATCACTTCCTGAATCATATCGGCAACTTAAACTACTATAGATTACTTTTTGATCATACCGAACCATCGTGCTGCATGATTAGCTGACTGTTCAAATACCAGTCGCTGTTTTACTGTCACTGGTATATTTCCCTGTTTACTGATAATAATGTTACTCTGGGCAGGGGGTATTTGGAGTTTTAAGCATCCCAGCTGGACTTGTCATTTTGGTAGGAATGATGACACGTGAAGCTCATGTACACAACGTTGCATATAAGCGTGTAAGTTGCCTTCGCTCATCTTCGAAATCTTTCATCTTCTTTTTGTCTCGGAGGCAGATCTAGGATTGAAATTTAATTGAATTCAACTTTTAAGATTCTTAGTAGGTGTACTCATGGTACTGTAAAATTATGATTTTTGATCTAATATTTCTTGATATATTAGTAGGATTTTACATATATATTTACACTCCTTATCGACATTTATGAGTTCAGATGAATCTGTAGCCAAAGTGCTACATCCGCCCCTGATTTGTCTCATCTATTTATGTTTCTGAGGCAGGCAAGTCAAAAGTTCATGGATGCTGGTAAGGCTATGTGGATGGCACTGAAATGCGAGAATGTTTGGAGGCCATGTATATACATGTACATTTCTCTAGCATTGAGTTTGCATATTCATGAGGGAATGTTTTACTGGTATACAGATGCAAAGGATGGCCCATCTTTCTCAAAGGTATTTGTATTATATCTCTACAACCTTTTGTTGACAACTTTGAAAATGATTCAAGACCTAACTTCCAGCTCATTATTTGAAAATTAGTCATTATCTTCTTCTCGAGTTGGAAAAGATCTTTTCAACACAGAAGTGTGAATTGTATTGCTATGTCTCTGCAGGAGATGGTAGGATCCATATCTTCTGTTGGTGCGGTGGGCTCTCTTCTTGGTGTTCTCCTCTACCAGAATGCATTTAAAAACCATCCCTTTCGTGGTGTACTTTTCTGGACTCAGTTACTATATGGTGCTTCGGGGCTGGTAGACTTAATATTGGTCTCACGTGTAAACTTAAGATTTGGTATCCCTGATTATGTTGTTGTTGTAAGCGATGCAGCATTCTCTCACATGATTGGGCGTCTCAAATGGATGCCTCTCCTTGTACTCAGTTCGAAGCTTTGCCCCTCGGGCATTGAAGGAACTTTTTTTGCTTTGCTAATGTCAATTGATCATATTGGTATGCTCACAGCATCCTGGGGTGGAGGCCTCTTACTTCATGCCTTCGATGTTACAAGAACACAATTTGACAACCTTTGGATAGTTATAGTAATTCGGAGCATTTTAAGAGTACTTCCAGTTTTCATTCTGTTCTTGATACCCAGCAGTGATCCAAATGCTTCTATTCTCCCATCCGAGATGTTGAAGAGTAAAAAGGGAGACGATATGTTGGAAAATCAGAACATGGAAATGGCTCCTCTTGTGAGCAGTGTTGATCAGCATTTAGTGGATACATGATCACGACACAAATAGCAAAACTGGAATAGCACATGTGCTGTTGAATTTTTATGCGCGCAGCATGACAGAAGCTATACAAGATGGATATACTAGCTTTTGGTAAAAAGAAGTTGAGTTGACTAAGCCAAGTTATTCCTACCAGTAAGGCTTAGATTTGTTGTATACATGTATTCCTTCACAACACTTGAGGAAAAATTGACCTTTGTGAAATTGTATGTACCAATGTTCTGTAGTTTCTTGGAATCTTTTTGTTAATACAGTTGGCTTTGGTCTTACTGTTGTAGCTTAGAGGAGCAGAAAGAATCTTTTGTTGGCTGGTGGGCTTAAGATTAACCATATCTTTGTACTTTAAAAGAGGACAGATATCATTATCTTCCCATAACCCAAGGGGCCATCAGCCATGTACTCAGAAAACAGAAGAAAGAAAAAAGAAAAAAACAACTGGCTCGGTTATCGAGACATTCCTGTGTTGCCATAGTATGTTTTTATATGCTTGTAAAACTTTAGAGTATGCCAAATTGTGACTTAAACTCATCTGCATAATATTTATTGAAGTTCACGAGATGATTAAGCATCAAACAAATTAGGACTAGTATTAGTGTACAGTTTACAATCTAAAAGAATTGCACTTGTAGGAAAATATAAAACTACATAGTTCCATTGAAACATTTTTAAAAACCTGTTTATATTAGAAAAAATAATCACTCTTAAAATTTCATTGCCAAAAAGTCACATTATTGACTTCTTTTATCTGCATGATGAAAACTCAGAAACTACATGTCTCTTTTGCAAATCCAACTTGTGACTGTTTTATATCATATATAACCCTAGTATTCTTCTGCTGATAATTTCCAATAATTCCAATCTCATCATCATATTGGAGGCTTGCTAGAGCCAAACAGACTTGTGATGCATCACTTTTTACAATAAAAAGAACCCCAGTAACATCAACTTCCATCTCAGCACCACCTTCAAACTGCATTTTAACAGTGGGAATATTCACTTCTTCATATGCAGAAAGATCAAAACAAGTATCAAGAATTGAAACTCCTTGTTTAAAAGGGTACCCTGAAAATTGTTTCGAGAACTCTGCTTTAACAGCTTTGTACATTGTTGGTGGGAGCCTTGTGATAACTGTACCAGAATCAATGATCATCCCAGTTTTCCCAAAAGCTGAATCTTGAATAGCCACCCCACCGATAGTAACCCCGGTTAGATTGAGAAAATAGAAGGTAACAAGCTGTGGATTTGCTAACATTCTAGTGTAGGAAATAGGTGTAGAGTTCTTGAAAATTGTAGTGTTACTGTCACCTCCTAATACTAATGAGCCAGAGGACTTAGCTTCAGCTGAAGGCAAACAGTAGGAGAAAACACCACCAAAAGTCTCAAATGTTTGAGATATCAAAGAAAGATCACTTCTTCCAAGTCCCATAATCCCTGAGGCTAAACCAAATAGACCTTTGTTATTTCTTCCACAACCAAAGACAAAATTCTCAACAGATGTGCTTCCAAGAACCAAATGATCTTGACCAAGTTCGCCTCGAGTGTAGGATCCATCACCATAGTTGACAACATAACTACAATCTTGTAAATCATTCCCACATGACCCTGAATTTCCAGTTGCAGACTGAAGTGTTTGACAAACCGACGAGTTGCATATAACTTTGCGATAAGTAGGAGAAACAGAGGGGTTAAACAGAGGTTCTGGTTGATTATAACATAGTCTACAAGGTTGACACTGAATCCATGTGAGATCACTTCCTGTGTCCACAATCACTGTCGTGTTTCGACCACCTAATGTTACTGTGACAATGTAGTTTAGACTATGCAGTTTGACACCAGAAGAAATAGGAATATTGTTTTGTGATGAAGTTTCAATTTTTCCAGATATGATGTTCTTGATACTGTCTTGTATTGACCGAACTCGAATATCATCATCAATTATCAGTTGTTTCTGATGATTTCTGTTCATGTTGGTAACTGATCCAGAGCAGTAATCTTTGTGCTGCATTTCCAATACTGTTGCTCCATTTTCACTTTCTGAAGAAAAAAAGAAGATAACAACACAGTTCAAATAGGTTATTACTGTAGTACAGAGTTTTAAGAACCTAAAGATTGGCTAATAGAATCACATTATAAAAATACTCCCTCCATTCACTTTTACTTCTCCCGATTATTGGACTTTGCATGTATCTTAAGAAACAATAATAGATATGAGTATTTTACAATATGCAATCAATGTTAAGGATAAAACCTAAAAAAAAAATATGTTTTCAGTTGATATGCTTAAAGTTATAAAGAAAAAGCAAAAAAGTGTATTTTTAGTATAATGAAGAAGTAAAAATGAACGAACAAAGTAGTTTGTATTCCATTACCATCATTTTGCCTAGTGAAGAATAAATTAAAGTGGAAATGGTGGGGTGTTGAAGGTGACATATATAGCATATAAAAGCATGAAAAGAATCAAAACTATTAGGAGATCCCCATAAAAGTGTTGATGATATCAAAACAAAAAATTAAATGCCTTCTAATAATAAAATAATTGATCAATATGACTAGCTAGCTCTACAATCTTGTTTATGCAAAAACTCACTTGATTTTTGAGAATAACAACTTGGGCTATTGCTTTGATGTGTTCTTTGAAGTGTTTTGAGGTGAAGCCTTTGTTCATTGTTTGCATTACTTGAAGTGAGCAAAATGAAAAGAAGAAGAAAAACTAAATATGGCCAAGGAGACATTGTTTTTTTAAAGTTTGCAACTTTTTTAAAGATGGAATTTGAAGGTATTTTAGGAATGAAGGGAAAATAAAAGAAGATGGGAAGAATGAGAAGAGAGAATGGAGGGAGAGAGTATAGGGTGTGGATGAGATTCTTATGAGTTGGAATTAAGCATGAGAACAAAAAAATAGAGGCCGGTGAGATTTCAAAGTCAGAATTTTAAATTTATGAGTTTTTGAATTTATTACGTACAAATTCATCACTCATTTTTCGTTAGTGCTATTGGAATTTAATATTTTAGCATATTTAATGAATTTTCTAATACAAATATGTCACACCGGTCGTCATGAATCCTCACGAATGAACTCCCTTTAGCCACAACCTAGATATCCTCAATAGATGGAGATTGTAAAACCCTAGCCACCATACTAACGTAAAAATGCTTGTTCTTTCGATACGTATAATAGTGTATTTATACAATATATATTTCCTGACATAACATATAAATTAAGCAAAATTAAGCAAAAGCTACTGAATTCGTCTAAATTCGTATTTAACATGGTAACTCCGGCCCCGGTTGACAAGGATCTAGGACCCACAAATGCATGAAAAATTATTGAGAGTTCACGTGCAGATATTGGGGAAGACAAAGTTAATTGTATATATAATTGTTTTATGTATATTAGCAATTTCTTTGGTTTGCTTAGATAAAAGAGAGTACTCTCACTGTCCCTTCACGGTATCAACTGTGACCATACACACTACCAAAGTGAAACAATGCAGTGTGGGCTTTTGAAAGAAAACAAAAATAGGCAGTGGAGTGGAGTTATTTATGTTGGTGTTGTCAATTTTTTGTGTCTTAATTTGTCCCTTTTCCTAATCCTGCCTTATATGTCCGCACCATGTCGGCTAGAGACGGAGTCAGAATTTTCAATAAGGGGTTAAAAATTTATAGAAATAGACACATGAAGTAGTCGATCGAGATTCGACATCTACTATATATATATATATATAAAAAATTATTTTAAACATATATAAATCATATAATTTTTCACCAAATGAGATTCGAATGAACCCCCTTCGTACAAGGTGGCTTCGCCCTAGTGACAGTCACACCAAGAGTCTTTCGGTAATATGTGGAAATAATCATAGATCATTTTTTGACTGAAAATTTAGTGGGCAAATAGTGATTTTTTAGCACTGAACTGTCTCTTAATCAAATGAAAAGGCTCAAATATATCTTGAACTTTGAGAAAAGACTTATTTATACCATGTTTGGTTCATCTATGTGATTTATGTTTGAGAAAAGGCTCATACGTGTCATTATTTGTTAACTGAATTGACATAGATGAGCTAAACTTTTAATGGATGGCAAAGATATTAAACTTTTTTCTCAAAATAAAATGACATATTTGAGTGTATTTCTTTTTAGAAATGATTTAATTAATGACACAGCCGAATTATAGTTGGCTGTGTGTAAAGAATAGTTTTACAAAATCGAAATTTAATAACAAATAATGACATGCATGGATGAGCTTTTTCTCAAAACAAAAATGACATATATGATTCAAACTTTTAAGCACGACTTAGATATGGATCCAATAAGATACTAGTAAGTTAACAAGTCTTAGTCGCTCAAAGCAAGTTGCCATATATATATAAAACGAAAAAGAGGAACACGCAGGATCACATCAACCTTCTACCTCTAATTCACATCAAAATTCTTTTTCTTGTTTCGGCTGGTGTCGAGTTTTTATTAGAGTTTCGATTAAATTTAGATTGGACATGGAAGGAACCCTTAGGAGATGATAGTCCAAACACAGTTTTCTTCATATTCAGGGCTCGAACTCAAAACTTTGATTAAGGATGAAGCAGTCTCACAATTGCACCACAATCCATGTTAGTCACAACAAAATTAATAATATATCGTAATCTTTCTGTTTTATATTATTTGATCCATGTTGATTCACCATATGCCACTAAAAAGTTTTAATTAAAAGTCTATGTTATTAAATCATCTTTATTAATTATGTTTTGAAACTGAAAGGGAAACTGTCTGTTCATTTACTAAAATAAAGTAGTAAAATAAAATATTTATTTTTGACTATAGAAGACAAATAAAATTAAATGAAGGGATCGGACTAGCTTCATTCTCTCAGTAAAATATGACAATTCTATCGTTTACAAGTTATTAGTTAGAGAAACATCATTAGCTTTGGTACAATTTTCATCACTCCTACCTTATTTAATTATGCATGTATAAGTCTTTCAAAAATAGTAGAATTTGTTTATGTTCAATTGATCACAAATTATGTTGATATGTCATGACTTCACTACAATATACATATTATTATCTTGTTCAATTATTAATAAACTTTTGCTGAAGTGATTGAATTTGTGCGCGCAATTGTTCACAAGTTTTGACGGGCACATTATGATTTTAGTACGTATTGGGGCCTTAATTAAATTTAAATTGCACACTGTAAAACTCATTTAATTAGAGGTACTTTCAATTAAAAAAAATTATTGTGAGGATTCAAATTCGAGAACTCTCATTAATGTGATATTTGTGCAAATTTTCAAAAGACATATATTTGCACACTATAGTTAAGAATTGGGCCTGTAAGGGCTTATTGCCAAGGTTGTTCTAGTTCCTTCTACAACAACGAAAAAAATAGTATAGGAAGTAATAAAAGGAAGAGTTTCATTTAATAAATATAGCTAAATGTGAGTGTTGATTGAGTCTATGGGCTATCGAATTGTAAAATATGCTAAATCAATGATTGAACAAATAAAATATCCATTTTTTAATTGATTAGTGATTCTTAATAATTTAATTATTGAATTAATCGATAAGAAAATGTCAACGACCAACCAGCTACTTTAGATATATCTTCATTTCCTTTTATGTTTTCATTTGGTAGTATGCACACTTTCTTCAATAATAGTAATTTTTGTGTCAAATTAATTAAGAGTAAATTTTAAATTTAGTAAATATAAAAATCATATTTATACGTTATAGTTATGATTTGTATAATTGTGATGTATAAAATTACAGTATTTTGATTTGTATAATCGCAACGATTTGTATAAAATCGGACGTCTATGCCTATGAAAATTGTTTTTGTGTATGTATATGTTCTTTATGTTTGTATATATGCATAAAATTTGAATATATACAATTGAATCGAAATAAAACATTTGTACATCAAATCTCTCTTTCGCTTTATACAACACAAATTACATATAGTAATTTGTATAAAGCAAGAAATAGAGAAAGGCAAAAGAGAAGTGATAACGGAAAATCTACTTTTGTATAATTATAAGTGTATAATATAAAAATATATGTATTTTTATTTGTATATATTGTTTTCTCTCGCTAATTTATACAAACAGATTTACAATTTATATATTTGTGTTTTGTATAAAGTGAGAGAGGCGAGGGGGATTTTTGGAGAGAGAGGCGATGGCAAAGTGTTTGCTAAAGATTAAAATTAAATGAAATTGTGTTTATAGCATTTAATTTGAATTAATAGTTATTTTACAATTTTCTCAATTAATTATCTTCGACATTCACAGGTGCGGACCAATGTCAAGCGGCACCCCTTTGCCGAAAAACTACATTGTAGGTAGAAGTCAAATTATATATATATATATATATATATATATATATATATATATATATATATATATATATATATATATATATATATATATATATATATTGACACTTCTTGATAGAAGTAAAAAGTTTAGTCTATTAATTGGTTAAGGGGTTGCAAAAACTCCTTACACTATGTTTGGATCATTGTTATCCATTGTATTGTATTATATCGTTACTGTACCTACAATGTTTGTTTTTATTGTTACTTAAAATGTATTGTATGTATTGTTATATTTCATTGTTACGTAACAATAAAAACCCTTATTTTATGGAACAATCAATTTGGTGTGTTCCCATTGTTACTTAATTTTTTTTTCTAAATATATATTTCATAATATTTCAAAATACTATTTTTCTTTTAATTATTTAAATCTAGTCAAAGCTCCTACCCTAGAATAATTTAAAATATTTTAGTAAATTTTATAAATTACAATACAGTACGATACGATCAAACCAATCGATTAAATTGTTATGAAACAACAACAAATAATACAGTCTAGACAAACATTATATCTATCATACAATACAATACAATAGAATACAATATATTACGAAACAATGTGTAACAATAATCCAAACAAAGTCTTAAGATTTTGTGTTCAAGCTCCATTGGGTTCATTTTTTTTTCCTTCCTTTAATCATTGACACCCCTTTTAAGAAATTCAGTGTTGCTAAAAATATGACACGTAATAAGGTGGATTTCACTCTTAGCTATAAGTTGAAATCTAGGTAAAGCATATTGTTAGAAAATTTATTTGTGCACATTCAAAATTAGATGTCATAAATATTTGTTGATGTCTCATAATATTGTTTTTTTCTTCCTTTAATTATTAACACCCCTTTAAGATATTCATTTTTGCTAAAAATATGATATGTAATAAGGTGAATTTCACTCTTAGCTATAAGCTGAAATTTAAGTAAAGCATATTATTGAAAGTTTACGTGTCCACATCAAAAATTAAATAGTATAAATATTTATTAATGTCAAGTTAATTAATGACAAACTATTATATTACGTCTAAATTAAAATAGAAAGAGCAACATACTATCATTTATTTTGAATCTTCAACGTTTTTTCGTCAAAGTTTTCTCCATCTAAGAGTACATCATTCATCTCCTAATCAATAATTATTTCAAACAAATAGTAGTAATTTAGTACATTATTTATAATCATAGTCTGACATATTGGGTCCTAAGATCATTACATTAATTTTGTTGGCTCATTAGTCTTATTAGTACGTAACATATATATACAAGCAACTTGTACATCATTATTAAGCAACTTGTCCATCATTAACTCATTTTGATCTCCTTTTTTTTATTTTTTATATATTAGATGACATTATAGGTGTTGACTCTTTTGAAGTAGTCTCAATCAATTTGCTGACATTTTTACTCTAAGAAAAATGTCAAATATGGAAACGTGAGCGAATAATTTTATTACTCTTTTTAAATGCGTTTTGAGTGAATAATATGTGATATACCTAAATGAGTTTAAAGTATTGATTGATTTGAGATAATGTTATAG